CTTGCAATATCTTATTTCATTGCACACATGTATTGATTTGACCTAAGGAATCAATTATTTCTCATCCATGTAGATGATTTTATGCCCACAACAATCCAGGTTAATCTCTTTTTTTTTTTTTTTTTTTTGTTGTTCATCTCTCTATGTAAAATTTGTATGTATATATGTATTTTTGTGTGGGTGTGTTTCTTGGCTTTTTTTTTTTTTTTTTTTCAGTTTTCTTAAATTTGGATTGGATTAGACTAATTATTTATGATTTTCTTAATATCTAGAAAAGTTAAATTTCTCAAATACTTGGTATATTGTTGTATTGATTTTTAGTTTATAATAATACATAACATTCTTTCCAGATCCAAAATATGCATTTTTCAATATTAATACTGTAGTATAGTTTTGTTTTGAATCTCAAATTAGTTTTCTAAAAATGTAACAATGTTACCTTTTTTTTTTCTTTTTTTTTTTTCTCTTTTTACTTGCCAATATTCTTTGATTTAAGTTAGTCAAAATTGATTTATTGTTGTTTGTTTTTTTATTAATATATTGTGTAATGATTATTAATTTGTGCAAGTATTACATGAATTTCTTATTTTTTTATAATTTAAAATCTAATTATTTAATTGAATTTTTTTATAATTTTGGCATAAATCTTATTTGTGTTTGTTCAAAAGTTTCTTTAAATAACTATTTTTTTATTTATTTAAATAAATTGGCAAAATTTTAGATATATATATTTTTGTATGAATATAATAAATAGTAAAATATTTTTGGCGTAAGTAGTTTTTTTTTTTGTTTTTTCAAAAGCTCTAGTTAGGTAATGTTGCTTATAATTTTGGTCCTCCAACCTTAAGATCCTAACGCCACCCCTGCCACCATTGTTAAGGAGCTTAAAATGTTAATTCTTGTAGAAGACTCAACGGACAGGAGTTCAAGGACAAGTGTCTTCAAGATGAGCCACTGTCTTGACTAAATAGCGGTAGCCAATGAGAAAATATAATATAATTCTGCCTCGAGTGGCTTGGTAGGGTTAGTAAGGTAATGATCTAGACGCCCTAATGTCTCAGGTTCGAACCGTCCATCTCCATTATTATCCTTGACTTAAAACATTATTTGTATTGTGGGGCCGGGGTGAATAACCGGGAGTTTACCTGATAGTTACAAGTCTAAAGGACGGATAGTTGCGAGAGTTCCCACGTCATCAAAACAATATATATATATATATATAAGCTACAAATGTTAGAAATTATATATATATATATATATATATATATATATATATAATTTCTAACATTTGTAGCTTCGCTCAAACTTGTAAGAAGCTTCTGAATTTTCAAATTGAATCCATTGATCAAAATTGATTGACCACTGACATTGTGGCCTAAATTTTATTTTGGCTCGTTCATGTGCCTCATTTTTTCTTCTTCGAAATTGTGGTTTTTTTTATATAAAAAAAAAAAGAAAAAAAAAAGCCCCGTTTTTCAACATGACATTCACATTAATTATAATTCGTTGAATAAGCTACGCGTAAGGAATTGGATGTAAGTTGTAACTTGTGAATTGGTTAATGAAGTTTAGTAGAGTGGATACAACACTAACAACGGTAAGAGTGTCCTTAATGCAGCGGGCTGGCAGTAATTGGGCGGGCCCATATGGGCTTGCAATCTGACTCGTGGAAATCTACCATATTATTATTATTTTTTTTTTTTTTGCAGAATTTGGAATCCTATGTATATGGAAATGGGATTTTCAATGTAATTACAATATAGAAAAGTTACCAATTCTAGAAAGGACTTTCTTCTATAGATGGTGGTCTGGGATGACTCAAAACCCAAGAACTTTCGTCTATTATTAGACAAAAAATTTTGGCATACCACGATGCCATTTAGGGCTATAACTTGGGTGGGTTAACCCAGCCCAGCCCAACCCCAACCCATAAATTTTGAAATTTGGACATACAATTCACAAATCGGATTCATGTTCGGGTTGGGTTTTGTCAAAACCCAGACAAATTTGAGTTGGGCTCGGACTCAACCCGAACCCAACTCGAAACCCAAAATTAATTTTTTTTTTTTTTTCTCCTTTCTCTCTCCTCTCTCTTCTTTCTCTCTCAGCCGCCGTCGCTTTCCCTCAGCCGCCACCAATCCAGATCTCGGAGAAGAGAAAAACTGAATCAAATATGCAACCGACCATCATTTGAAACTGAATTACTATAGTCTGATAGTCCATTAGACTTACAAAAAACGGAATCAACCATGCAACCGACCATCATTTGAAATACAAAAATCTCAACATTAACATTGAATTGAGACAAATTTTCTTTCTTAAAGCAAATATTAATTTCCAACACAGATCTCAAACAAGATTCAGTGTAGGATCTACATATTCACTAAATTCTCCACAAAGAAAAAGGATATCTGAAAGCAGAAATAGAAGGAAAAAAAAAAACAAACTGTAATAGAAGTTATAGAAATAAAAAATATATATTTGCAAAACAAGAATTACGGATTAGTTGATTTAGAAAAAAAAAAATTAAAGCAGAACCCATTCATACAAGTTAGCAGTTGCAGAGAGGGGGGGGGGGGGGGGGGGGAAGCTTGATAGTTGAGAGACAGCGGGCCAGCGGCTAAAGCTTGCGAATGGCGAACCCGAGTTGGAACAGTGGGCGATGGAAGCTGAAAGATATGGGTTTTGATTTTTTGAACAATCTGAAATGATATGCCGATATGGGTTTTGATATAGGTAATAGGTTTTGAACTTTTGATTCTTGCAGACAGATAGATAAACTGAAATATATGGGTTTTGAACTTCTGATTCTTGTTGATTTTGTAGTTTGCATTTGCACAGAGAGAGATAGAGGGGGCTTTCAGAGATGAGAACGAGAATAGAGATGGAGGGATTGGGGAGGCTGAAATGATTTGCCCTAAAACTATGCTACATATTTTTAATAATAATATAATTAAATATTTATAATATACATATATATATATATATATAATATAATATATATAAATTTCTGGGAAAAAATTATATATAAAATAATAAATAAAAAAAACTCAACCCACCAACCCGACCCATTCCGTTCGAAAACATTTGGTTCAGGTTATGATCAGAACCCATATTAAATATAATTCGGGTTGACCCAACCCAACCCGATTCGGGTTGAGGTTGGGTTGGGTTGGATTGGGCCAATCCAACTTGCAGCCCTAATGCCATTCCAAAATTCACATTGGCTAATTTTCCAGCAGCCCCTAATACTTTTAACCATTTTGAATTGGTTAAAGATATGATCAAGAAATAAAATCCACTAATCACCGAAACAGATTTAATGGTAAAATGTATGGATTTCATGAAGAACAAATTTGTCAATTCATTTGGTTCTTCATCATCTCAAATTAAAGATGATTCTTCAATAGCATCTACTACCAGTTAAGAAGGAAATCAATTCAACTGTTTGGCTGGAGAAGCTCAAGATTCTAATTAGGATTTAGATCAAGAGGTGTAGCCCAGCACGGAAGATTATTGGGATTCCGTGACAGTCCTAATGGCAAATAGGATGAAACCTCCTAAAAAATAAGATTCTCAACGATCTTACTGACAAAAGAATACAAAGAACTATTTAAAAAAGTTTTGATTCCATGTGAAGAAGAAAAAGAACTTTTTAGAAGTTTTTAAATCATTATGAATTTTCTCTTGTTAGAAGAATAACTATGCTAGATGACAAGAAGACAGAAACTAGTGGTAGACCATTTGACTGCAAAGAATTCAGCAAACGCCAAGACTTCAAAGTTTATTTTTCAAGTTCGATGTTTTATGTATAAAAAAGGAACATTGTATTCCCTCAACGTATCTTTTAGTTTTCTATTCTCTCTTGTATTATATTTCTAAGTGTGTACTTTTGTTCTGAAGTGGAATAAAGAAAATCTTTCAAAGTTATTTTCCAAAGTTAAAGTAGTCCTTTTAGATTTATAATTTTATATCTACCTACAGTCAGGGACGGAGGGAGTTAAGGCCCAGAGGGGGCAAGTGACCCCCCCACCCCCCCTGAATTTTCTCCCCTTCTTATATTTTATATATAGTTTTACTATAATATATATATTTTTCATAAAAATATAGAAAGTGCCCCTCCTGAAATTTCTCTTTCCCTTATAATATTCTATATATGTTTTTTTTTTTTTCCTCTTAAATAGTTTTCTTAATCCTTATATTCTATTTCTATAATTAGTTTAATTCCAAAAATATCAATATATATATATTAATAAACATTAAGTTATATGCATGGATATTATATTATATTATATATATATATATTATGATGTCCAATATTACAAAATGTGTCCCTCCTGCACAAATTTTCTGCCTCCGTCACTGTCTACAGTGGAATATATAGTAATATGATATCTAGTGGAAAATATAGTGGTATGTAACTTTTTATCTTTAGTGTTTTATTGTTATATGTAATATAATTATACTATATTCATATCATACATATATATAAATAATATAATTGTAATTTTGTAAAGTATTTAGGGTATTTTATTCTTTTATTTAATTATTCAAGGTTAGGGAGTTTTTTTTTTGACAAAGTCAAAGGTTATTTAAGTCATTTTAAGAGCTTTGACACATGTGCAAGTGATGAACACCGTTTGCATTGTTAGTGATAGTAATTTTTAAAAGTTGTTTCAATGTGATATTTGACCAAATCTGAGAGGGTACTGGTGGAATTAACCCTAAATAAAACTAGAGCTTGTTCATTTAACAAACGAGCTAAGTTTGAACATATTTTTTTTTGGCTCGTGTAGTAAAGCTTGGCTTGCTAGGCTCGTTTAGTAAAATATTTATTTTTTAAAAATTTTCTATACAATTTTTTTAGCCCATACTGTATGTTCATAAGCCCAACTTGATTCTTCATTAAGCCCAAATTCTTTCAAGTTCAAGTTAAGCCCAACTCCACTTAACCTGTCTACCCCCATCATCACATATATATTATGTATATGCAACGATTGACTAGATTTGAGATAACATCTAAAAGTTCCTCCTAGCCTCATCCAGCAACAACAGATCTCGCGGTGCAACTTTCAGTTTCAACAAGGCATCCTTCTTCCTCTCTTACTGGTCGGCTCTCTAATCCCTTTCAATCCAACACATCTTTCTCTCGTTAATCAGTCACGGTATCCACATATTTCTGTCTCTCAAATCTCTTTCTTGGGTTTATTTTCTCTGATGAGGTCTCAATTTCATTTTAGTCTTGATGGGATCAGAGGAAGATGCGTAGAATGGCATCATGGATTCACGGATTCTAAAGCCTTTTTATTTTATTTTTTATTTTTTTAAGGCGAGCAAGGCCGAGGTCGAGGTCGCCGAATTTTGGCGAGCCGAGCGAGCCCGAACATGGCTCGGCTCGGCTCGGCTCATTTGCAGCCAAAATAAAACCAATCACACGATGGTGCCAATTTCAATTTAGTTCTGGAGGGAGAGAGAGACTGGGGTTAGAGAGAGGGTTCTTGGGGTTTTTTTTTTTGAGAGAGGGAGAAATGGCGACTCTACGGCGCCAATTGTTGACCTTCCGGCGACACACCGCCGCTGCCGGCAGCGGATACTTTAGGATTTTAAGGACTTTGCGCTGGATCGATCTCAGGAGGAGAAAGATCACCGCTAATAGGGTGTGCAGACTCTCAACTTTCCGCCTTTGTCGCCCCTATTCGCACCCTAGATTTTTGGAGGAAGCGCTTGGTAGTTGGGTTCGACGACGTACTTTGGCGGATGTCTATGACCACGAATTCATAGTTAGCAATTCAAGGGAGATTGATTACCTATCGGTATCCTATCCATCTCGCGTTCTGATTTCTTGCCCCCTCCATCTTCGCTGGAGACCGTTCAAGAGGATCCGATTGGCTGCACACGCAAGAGAGTTCGATTTCACTGTATGTTGGACTCTCCATGTTTGATTTTCTGATTGTGTAAACTTCCCTGATTTCCCGACTTCACTGTGTCACATATATATATATATATATATATATATATATATATATATATATCGTCCTTTTGTTTGTCTACTCCATATTGGTAACATGCAGCATATTGCTTGAGGTCAAAATTGTTGATTAGGCGCCCCTTTTTTATTCTTTTCTTTTTTCTTTGTTTTTTTTTGGCTCTATGTATCCTTATAGTTTAATAATGAATTCCTATTAAAGTTAAATTAATTGAATTTAATAACATTTATTTTTATTTATTTCTATACGATTTTACTTAATTTAATCCAAAAAGTAATGTTATTTTCTACTGTTACAAGTTCAATCTCTCACTAAATAAAATATAGTTCATTAAAATCAATATAGTTCTTTTCAATATTCTTCAATTTTTTTTGTGTCTGGAACTTTTATTTTTTTAATTTGATGTATTTATAATTTATATGAAAAATTTAATCAATAATTATAAAAGGAATCATACCATCCTAATTACATTTTATATGTAGGAATCAAAGTTCACAAAGTCACAAATTCAATTATATTTGTGATTTTTTCAAAATATTTGTCTCATACTTCATTTTTTCAGCTAATCACGATTCAACATTTATTAAATAGTGGGTTTAAATTATCACCTCTAATATCGCTCCATTGTTAATAAAAAGTCCGCTAAAGCTACCTTGTCCAAGCAAAAAAATAAAAAATCTATTAAAGCTTTACACTTAAAAGTCAAAAAAGTAGTTAGAACTATTGCATACACTTAGTTACTTAGTAAGTTTTACTTTTTATCTTTTACTATTTTATGTTGTTAACCTATTATAATTCACAAGTATGACTAATGTTTTAAAATTATGAATTTTAATATTTATCTAAAATTAGTATTTATATCATAATTAATAATTATTTAAGTAAAATTTTGTAACTCCTTGAGTTTTAATCTTTACTCTTAGAATACTATTTGTTCATGATTTACGAATATGTAAAAAAAACAATACATTTGATTTCATTAATATTTAGAATTGTAATTACTCAAACAAGTTGCTAATTAATTATTTAAAAATAAAATTTATTTTGATAATTCCCTATAATTTTAATTAAAATTATAAAATAACTTTTGATGCACCTGGAAATCATTTTCTTTTCAGTAATTCAAATTTACTTGCATGTTTTCATTTGCAATTATTTACTGGCCCTTTTGTGGTGGACTGGTGGTTAAATAATATGATCAAATGTCGAGGGATTAAAATGTGTGGGATACATTACTAGTATTGTCATTATTCTTATATTATTTAGCAACTTTTAAGAACACTCTGTATACCTCGATGAAGAGTGAAGAAGTTTCATTTATGAGTACTGTCTTTTCCCCCTTTCTTGTGAATTTGTGATGGAACATGTTAACACTAAGAAGGGAAATGTTGTGTACTTTGCAACATTAGCCTTACAGTCGTAGATTTCATTACATAAATATTGCTTTATGCCCCAATGAGAGTTTGTATGGATTTTTACACATAGGTGGAGTGTAATACATTCTATTGGATACCATTGATTTTTTAGAACTTGTAAGAGAGATCAAAATTGTTTTGCTGCGTGCTTCTTATTCTTTCCGTAATAACTCTAATTTCTTGTTCATCTTGTAACCACCTTGCATCAAAATGGAAGCACCCTTTTCTTTTTTGTACAACATGATCAAGATCCCAGTATTTTTTTCATTACGGCATACCCTCTTGCTGCGTTGCACTGATACTTTGCAGATACCAAAGTATCTCCTCATCGCTTTCGCTCAGAAGGAACACCCTTGTTATGAGAGCCTTTTGGTCTTCCTGTCTTCTGATTTCTACTCCATATGGTTCCATGGCTCCCTTTCTTCGTCGGTAGGCTACCCTTACCCTTACCTTCAATTTGTGAATTTGGTTCAGCAATATTAGATTTCAACTTGTTCACTTTTGTAAAAAGCGAATTTTGATACTGAACTTCCACCCCATGTGACCCATCACCAACTATAATAGATGACTGAGCATTGGGCTGTAATATTGCATTAGTTTGGGCTTTATCAAAAAGCCCACTTGTGCTTCCCACCTCGAATATCGGCCCAATTTTTTTGAATTCCATCTCCAACTGTTTGTCAGTTGTTTCTCCTAAAATTACTTTGCTGTGACTCCTATTCCCACGTTGTCGTTCTTCCATGACATTCTCCGAAGATTTGTAATTCTCCACCAAATTTGGGATAACAGCAACCCTCCCCTGATATTCCGCATAATTTGATCGGAAGGATTTGCTGTCGGCGTTGTACTAGTATCAGTTTGATTACCACACCCAAGGTGTTGCCATAGACGTCCCACTGCACCCTCCGTTGAAGAGAAGGGCCAAATTGACACTCAGATCGTGACTAGGGGCCTCTAATACCAGACCTTGATGGGCAAGTCCGTACTTCGTGATCCACCTCCTTTCCACATCTAAAACAAATTGAAAGTAATATTTCATATTTGAACGTAGCCCATACCTCCTTTTGATTTAGATACATCCACAGAGACTCTTGTACGAATGTATATCTTCCCCCGAATTTACCATGATCACGAATTTCCACTTTGTCATACTTATTAAAACTTCCTGCTATCGCCTACCAACTGCATCAGTGAGAAGTTCCAATGGCAGATTGTGCACACCCATCCGCATCGTGAAATAAAGAATCTTATAAGTTATAACTGCATATCTTCATTCCATTTTCCTAAGACAATGAGATACCAATCAAAGTTCCAAGACCCATTCTTAAGAACACGATTCTTGTACTTTAAATACCTGAAGTAAAGCACATTTCCCACCTTCCATGAACGCCTTTCGCAGCCCATTAATATTATCGCGCTTCTCTCTGTAAATCTTACCAATCAGACTATGTGATCATATTCGTAAACCCTCTTGAACATTGTCATCCTTTAATATCAAGTCTTGCTCTTCATCTTCCGTCAATTCAAAATTCTTCAACTGATGATTTAATTCTTCCTCCATAAGACGACGCGCTATGGAAATCTCTCTAATCTTAAAATATATTAAGAAGAAATAAGAAAGAAATGAACAAATCAGAAGAGAAATAGAGTGGAAACCGCTAAGGCAAAAAAACACCGTCAAATTGTGTGTGCATATGATTTGGCTGGTGGAGACTTGAAGTTGAAAGGAGTTATTGAAGGGGAGTGTATTGGAGGGTAATTAATGGTAATTTGGTGAATGTTTGGGAAGATCGATGAACATCAGACTCAGAAAATTCTAAATTGTTTTCTCAAATTCCTAATGATTCTCATAATTTTAGAGTAATTGATCTTATCGATTGGGATACAAACTGATAGAATGGAGATTTGGTAAATTCTGTAATGAAAGAGGGGGATTGGTCTAGAAAGTATCAGCTTGACTGATTCACTAATGAAGCTCTTCCAAATATTTATGTGTCTATGTTCTAAAAAGAAGTCCAACTAGCCCTCAGTGGCTTTTGCAAGACATATTTCCTCTTCACAACTATTACTGAAAATGATTGATGTAAAAGTTATGATAATGCTTTCATTGGAAATTAACTAAAGCACCCCTTCCAACCAGGATGTCCGCAAGAGTACAAAAGTCTAACATTTAGCTCGAGTCATTTGATAATTTCCTTACAATAGTTGCTGATATCTGTCATATTACATCCAATCACAGATGGATAAGCGTATTCAAGTTCATATCTACATCTACTTTGAACAATTCTAATTTATTTCCTTTTTTTTTTTTTTTTTCATTTGCAGTTTTTAGGGTTGATTATTGGAATGCGGCGGCGATGATAGGGTTCTGATTTCAGTGTATGTATATTCTGTTTTGATAAAGGACTACTTGAAATGTCAATTCTATCTTCCACAAATTGCCAAACCTGTTAAGTGCTAATGATGTAATATGAATTATATGAGAGAATAACTTTCTCAAACTTTACAAATGACATGTGCGAAAAAACTTTAAAAAAATTAAATTCAAAATACTATAGATGCTAAATGTCTATTGTAAAACATATTATCTGATTTGATGGTACGAAGATAAACCATTGAAAAAAATGAAAAACTATGATTTAAAACACATCATGAGATTGACTTGGTGTCTAGAAAAACCAACATGTATGACCTTTTACTTTCAAACAAAATTTGATCTTTGTTATATGGCATTCACCAAAGTACAAGTTATGTCAACCTTGCTAAAAAAATTAGGAGGGTAACAACCAGAGAAGAATTCACCTGAGTTTCCTGAGATGCGCAGCATATGATGTGTAGTCCTGTTCCTTAGTTGTGTCTCTCTGTTTTCCTTGTAAAAAAAAAAAAAGTATGAGATGTTGCATCAAGTATGTGTGGCCCGATTAAATAATGAATAGAAAAGGGTTATGCACTGCTCCATCAAAATTATTTCTTCATTTTGTTTTCCTTGAGTGCCCCATGCAATGATATGCACATCTTGATTCATTTAATACATGCTCACGACCAGGAAACTTGAGTAATTGGATATTAAGGCCAAAATGCAGCTTAGGGAAGCATGGTAGTCAAATATCCAAGGCAAGCACAGGGTATGGTTCTAATAAAAGCCCATATGCTAGCCAAGCTGCCTAGGTGGTCATCCAGTATGGCCGCATGTCACCTGCCTGCATGTCAAGCATATTATACCCAATAATAGTACTATACATTTCATTTACTCTAATACTATAAGCAATTTTAGTGTAATAAAATTGTTATAGATACAATATAGAAGCTATATGTTATAAGATCATAAAAATCCTTTTACTAACACAATGCAAATGATATAATAAATAAAATAGAAGCATAAAAAAGAAAGAAAAAAATCAAGTGCATCAAAACCAATAGTTAATTGGTGAAAATGCAACGGGAATACTAAGGCTACCCAATGTATATACTAGTGCGGTGCTAGCACTTCAAGGTGTAGCAACGTAGTGTTTATGATTGTTGTTATTATGTCATACCGTTATATGACTACTCTATGAAGTAACTGAAGCGCGATATTTGAGCAGTGGAAGCTGCTAATTTAAAAGAAGCATACTAACCTAAAATCAACTAAATCCTCATATGCCCAGTGTTAAAAAATAATGCCCAGACACGATTCTGCACTACTAAACATGATGTAGTAGTGGTACTCTCAAATTTTTTGTAATTTAGTAATACGAACATGTAAAATGTTTTGAATACTTTAAGTTGCAGGTTTGTAGTCACTTAAATTTTGCACTTTATGCATCATCACTTTACCTTCAGCTATCAGCTTAACTGATTCACTAATGCAAGCCCTTCCTAATGTTTATGTGCACCTATGTTCTAATAAGAAGTCCAACTAGTCCTAAGTGGATTATGCAAGTAATATTTCCTCTTCAAAAATTTTGCTTAGCAAAATCACTTCTTCCAACCAGGACGTCCACAAGAGTATAAAAGTCTTAAAATTCTGCTTGATGATATCTGTCACATTAAATACATTCACAAACGGATAAGTGTTTGCAGGTTCATATCTACTGTGAACAATGCTAATTTATTTCCTTTTTCCCTTTTTCTGTTTGTAATTTTGCAGGGGTACTTGGTCTGATTGGCTGCTGGACAACAAGAGGTCTTAAACTGTATTTCTTTTTTCTACAAAAACACTGTACATGATTGAGCAACGGGTTTACATCATAGTTGTTTTTGGATTTGCACTGCAATTTTCCCCCTAAAACTCTGTACATGGCATGGCTGAGCAACAGGGTATGTAGATACAATAGTTAATTCAATTCTGGATATGTGCTGGTATGGCCTTGTGGGCATTTGTAGGAAATTGGTGTTGATATGGTAATTGTTAGGGCATGTTACATAATTTCTGCTGGAGTAGGGGTAAATAAAAGCTATGGATTGTGATCTGTTAGATCTGGTTCCATGTTGCTAATGCTAATTTCTCATGCGAATCTATAATTAGAATATTACTTAGTTTCTTCTCTGTTCAAAGTTGTAAATAAAGTTTGTGCAGACAACTTTGTATAGTTATAAGTGGAGTACTAGTTGAATTAGGACTTTCAAGTCAAAAACTGTACCTAAGTATGAATTTTGGCTTTTTTTGGCACTATTACATTATTTCTTTATTTTTGGTGATTCCATGTTTTTATGGATTGTGATCTGTTGGATTTGGTTCCATGTTGCCTATGCTAATCATCATAGGAATCTGTCATTAGAGTATATACGATATAAGTTATGAGGGGAGTATTAGTAGAATTAGGACTTGCATTACTTGCTGCGTAATTGATTAATTTAAATCTCAATAATATATATGTATATATATTTTTTATAAAAAAAAAAAAGATTAATGTGAAAGATTCTCAACTCACTTCCTCCAGGTTAGGAGATCGAATTTTCTTGGAGCCACCTAGAATAATTTATTATGCCAGTAATTGCACGTGCTCAGTGGTGAAATATGCAAGTTCCTTTTTTAATTGAATGCTTAAGGCCGGTTAAATTATGAATGCATAGCATCTCACATAGCATGAAGAATCAAGGTGTGTGAGTGATGCATGATCCTATTTTAAGCTTCAAATGGTTTATCTGATTCTTTATACTTTAATTCCTAGGACTCTCACCAACCTATCTACCCCATTGGTACAACACATTGATGATCATTATGGCTTCCGAGACTTCCTTGCATCAATTCTGAGTTGCTTTGATGAAATTATTCAGAATGAGGTTCATTGCAACTTCAATGTCCTTGATGTGATCATTGTAGTGTGGACTTGATCTTTCTCTCTTAATGTTTTCCTTTTGATCTATCATGAAACTCAATGTAGATATTAGTACATTGAATACTATAAATGGTTTTTTATCATCAAAAGTGCTAGATTACCCTTAGGAGAAAGCCGTAGGGTCAACAAAGCATATTATACCTATTCACTAATGCAAGCCCTTCCAAATGTTTATGTGTATCTATGTTCTAATAAGAAGTCCAACTAGTCCTCAGTTGCTTATGCAAGTAATATTTCCTCTTCAAAAATTTTGCTTAACAAAATCACTTCTTCCAACCAGGACGTCCACAGGAGTATAAAAGTCTTAAAATTTTGCTTGATGATATCTGTCACATTACATACAATCACAAACGGATTAGCGTTTGCAGGTTCATATCTACTGTGAAACAACGCTAATTTATTTCCTTTTTCCCTTTTTCTGTTTGCAATTTTGCAGGGGTACTTGGTCTGATTGGCTGCTGGACAACAAGAGGTCTTAAACTGCATTATTTTTTCTACAAAAACACTGTACATGATTGAGCAACAGGGGTTAACATCGTAGTTGTTTTTGGATTTCGACTGCATTTTTTCCCCTAAAACTCTGTACATGGCATGGCTGAGCAACAGGGTATGTTGATACAATAGTTAATTCAATTCTGGATATATGCTGGTATGGCCCTGTGGGCATTTGTAGGAAATTGGTGTTGATATGGTAATTGTTAGGGCATGTTACATAAGTTCTGCTGGAGTAGGGGGTAAATAAAAGCTATGGATTGTGATCTGTTAATTGTGATCTGTTAGATCTGGTTCCATGTTGCTAATGCTAATTTCTCATGCGAATCTATAATTAGAATATTACTTAGTTTCTTCTCTGTTCAAAGTTGTAAATAAAGTATATGCAGACAAACTTTGTATAGTTATAAGTGGAGTACTAGTTGAATTAGGACTTTCAAGTCAAAAACTGTACCTAAGTATGACTTTTGGCTTTTTTTGGCACTATTACATTATTTCTCTATTTTTAGTGATTCCATGTTTTTATGGATTGTGATCTGTTTGATCTGGTAGCATGTTGCCTATGCTAGTCATCATAGTAATTTGTCATTAGAGTATATACGATATAAGTTATGAGGGGAGTGTTAGTTGAATTAGATGTTATATTTTTGCACCTGAATTGACATGCTAATGGTTCTTACCTGGAACAGAGATGTATATTACTTTCGTATGGATTGTTAACTATAATTTTTTTACAGATTCGTAGATTAGTTTAGTCCAACATGATGCCATGATTTGGGCTATAAATGAGCAATTCATGAACAGTTTGGGCTCTTCATATTCAAACTTATATAAATGTATGAGGAACATTTATACTCCTTTGGTAGGAAGGAAGTAAGAGGGTGGAGGGAAGATAGGAAGAAAGAGACTAGCTTTCTTTGTTTGGCAGAAAGGAGATATGGAGAAAAGATGATGAATGAGTCATCTTTCTTCTTAAATTTTCATTCCTCCAAATATGAACTGAAGACAAGACTATTCTAAACGTTTTTAAATTAAAAACTTTTCTTATAATTAACACTCTCTCTTGTCTTCTCTTTTAACAAACAAAATAAGGTATTTATCTTATTTTCTTTTCTTTCATCCAACAAAATAAAAAGAAGAAATAGTATAATCTCTTTTCTAAAAATGTATCATTTATCTTTTCTTCTGACCCTTCCATCCAATTTTCTTTCTTTCTACTAAACCGGAGTGTTAGTGTGAATATCATGGTTGGAGCTAATTTGTATAAATTTTTCATTTGCATTCAACCGTTATATTTTTGAAGTGCCTATAGCTTGCACTCTCTAATTTAGGAAAATATATAGGAAATGAGATTTCTATATATGAAAGGGTAGTTTTGATATTTAAAAAATAATAATCATTTATTTGGATACCCTTCTTAGATTCAAAAGGTGCAAAAAAACCCCCTATTGTTTTGTTTGGTGCACAAAACTCCCTATTGTTTGCTTTGGGGCAAATTGGCCTCTAATAATCCATTTTGACCAGCTTTTTCTTTAAAAATTCCAAAATTGCCCTTTTCACCATTGACCATCAAAGAACCACCTCGTTGCCGATCACCAATCACTTCACCGATAGTCAGAGTCGGCGATTTGCCATATGATAGATGGAACGGGCAGCTTGTGTTTTGGTTTTGACTCCTTTACTTTTTAATGAATCAATATGGAAAACGATGAATGGTCCCAAAAGGAATCCCTACCTTTCCTTATCAATCCCTTGCATCTACGCTGTAAACGAACCGAGCTGTTCGCAAACCTCTTGGACTCGGTTTGCTAAAAGTTCGGCTCGAGCTCGAGCTCGAACAAAATTTGAATGCTTGATTAATAAACGAGCCAATCCCGAACGCTCTTCAACTCGGCTTGATAGTTCGCGAACACGTTCGGGAACTTGCTCCTTATTGGGCTCGTGAATATATAAACATATGTGTGTATAAATATGGTAGTTCAGGTCCTTTCTTTTTTCCTTTTAAGTACAAAGTAGAGCCCATTTCGATTCAACCCAATTGTGTTCATAATATCAACCCACTTTAAAAGAAAACTCCAGCCCACTCAAGCCCATTGATATAAATCTTATACAACTCCCTCACCCCCATATCTTCCCCAACCCTAAGTGCCGCATCGCTTCAAGAAACCACCGTCAAATCTGGAACAGCACCACCGGCATTGAAGAAACCAGCGGCAACTCTGTAACATGGCTGAAAATCCAAGACGTATTTCGCTCTCTCTCTCTGTATTCTCTCTAGGTCGTATATCTCCCTAATCTCGCACCTCTTTTGTATTTCTCATACTGGATGGAAGAATCGGAGTGAATGTTGAAACCTGCAACTGGAGATTTGTCGCTATTTCTGGTACCGGGTATATATATTATCGCTCATATATATATATATATATATATACATGCAACTGTTGTTCTACGCTTTGGTCTAATCGAGTTATTGAATCGAGAGCCTGTTTATTGTGTTTTCCAAGAGGAGCAAATTGACGGTTTCTCAGTAAAACCCAGAGTGAAATGGGCTCTGAAGGCTCATTGTAGATTAGGGGTGGCCAAGTTTGATACCATATGCGAACACGACTCGAACACGACACGAATTAAATGGAATTAAATGGATTTGGGTTGACCATAAAGGAATTTGGGTCATAAACGGATCGATACGGTTAACCCGTTTAGTTAATCGTTTCGTGTTTGAATTAAGGAGTTCAACTCGTATAACCCATTTATACCCGCTTAACTATACTTGTCATAAGTAAATTTTTAACTAAATTCTAAAATAACTATTTAAACTTGTATTTTATAATTTTTTTTTTTTTTTTTATAGGTTAGAGATTATTTAGTAATTTGGTTGGATTGAAATTTATATATTTTTTAGTATTTAATGTTTGATGGAGTATTATCAATAATTTAAATAATAAAATATTTGATTTTATTAAACGGGTTATACGTGTAACCCGTATAACTCGTTTAACAAATGGGTTTGAGAGTTCCTGACACGATTATTAAATAGGTTATGTTCGGGTTGAGCTATTTAGTAGAATACCTTAGATCAACCTGACACGATTACGACCCGTGAACACGAATTGCCACCTGATTGTTTTGCTTGCTTGCTTTCAGGTTAAGTGTTTTGGAGTGAGACGACCAAATCCCTTGTCTGGGACGGGAAAATCAACTGTTTTATAAAATATCATCTCTAGGGTTTCAAAGAAGATACATCATTTACATTCTTCTGCGAGTAGTTGGTCGCAACTCAATTCTTTGTTGTGATACTGTCTTTTCATGTGTTCGGAGACGATGTTGAAGGCTGGGTTATTGCCTGGGCATTCACGGAGAACAAAATGAAATAAATTACTCGGATATAGCATACTACCTGATATTTTGTAATATTCATTGTGTTTGAAGTAAACAATTTTGCATTTTTTTTTCCCATTAATGTGAGGTGAACTATTTGTGGGGAAGGGCTTTAGGTTGATCAGAGAGAGACTGCCATTTCTGACTTTTCAGTTTTTGTGTAAAAGCAAAAGAATGAGAACTTAAGGTCATGTTTGGCTGCATAGATTTGGAGCCTTTGAATTAGAAATTAAAATTTTCTCTAATTCCACCAATTTCATTTTTAAAGCTTCAATTCCATGCAATTAGTTTAAAATTCGTTCATTTATTCCGAAGGCACATCATTTGTCTTGCTTGTACATCATTTTCGCCTTCTCTAGGTTGTGTGGCTACCTTGTGGCATTCAAAAACAAACTCACTAATTACATTCTTTTGTTTTGAGATGATTTTAGGAGTCCATGGACAATTTCTATATGTTAATATTAGCAATGGATGGTTATAAAGCTAGCAATACTTTCGAAATCTGTTTACATAAAAGATGGATGAGTGCGCTAAGGTTGTAACCTATATATGTATATATATAGAGAGAGATTCTATAAGTTAAGAGACAAATAAAAAAGATTACTCAAAATAATATGTCAATCAATGATTAATTTAAGAAAGATAAATAGTTAACAAATAATTTAAAAAGGAAAGAAAAATGAGAGAATTTTGAAAGGGAAAAAATTGGAGTTTGATTCAAAAAGGAAAGTTTGATTTTTTTTTTAAAAAGTAAAGTAAAATAATTTAAAGAGTAAAAAATAAAAGAAATACAAAATGTAATAGATAATTTTAGAAAATAAAAATTTATGCCTCAGACATACACTGGCTCTGCCCAAGAGGTATTTAAGTTTCAATAGAGGCAAAAGAGAGTGAAAATCCAAGCAAATGAGTCTTAAGAATAGTAAGATGCAAAATTTTAATTAGCTCAAATTTAAATAATATATACCTTTTGTGACTAGTAAAACTAGAAAAAATAATAAAAATAGAGTGAAAATTAGAGGGCTTCCTAGCACATAATTCACCAAACGAAGAAACTACCAATTAGGAATTGAGTTTGACGCACTTCTTTTTGTTTTTGAAATAGTTAGCACTCAATATTTATTTATTTATTTTTTGCGTTGAGATGATTAATAAAAAGTAGCTCTAATGAAATTATTCACAATTAAGAAATTTCTAAGTATATAGAGGTACAAAAAGCACAATGGTGAATGTAATTAATTCATGTCACCCTCTATTCAACATTTAAAATGAGACTGCCTTTTGTTTTAAACTTGTTTATATAAAACTTTGAGGAAGACTCAACTTAGAAAAGCTCAAAGACAGGCATTTTAAGGTTGATCCACTATCCTACATAAATAGCCAATAAGGAAATATATAGGGCTCTTGGTCGTCTTTTAAAGACCAATTTTTTTCGAACAACCTTATATCAAGATTCTGAACTTTCTTGTCCGCGGCAAATTGAATCCATTTATCAGTGTCAGAACTGTACTCTACACCCAAGGAGTATTTCACCCTGAATGCTTCTATACTTGCACCACAATGTAGTGATAAAATTCGATTGACCCATCTCACAAACCTATGCTTTTCCTGCTGTTCAGAGCTG